TCAATAACAGCGATTTTGTATATGCCAGGAACCAGTAGTTCTACTTCTACACATGAGACTGATCAAAGAGAAGATACAGTTTGTCTTCCTATCGCCAAAAAAAGAAAAATTTGTGCAATTTGCCCCTCCGCAAAGCGAAGAATGACAAAGAGTTGTTGCACCAAGTGCAACAAATCCTTGTGTGGCGAACACAAACTTGAAATTTGTCACAAATGTATTAATTAATAGTTTTTTTCTAAAATGTTTCTTTCTTTTGTTGATTTTATTACTTAATTTTAATATTTTAATATTTTTTTAAGTCTTTGTTTTTTTTCGTTAATAAGAATTAAGTATTTAAAAAAACAAAAATGTTCAAATGAGTAAAAACTCTGGTCTCAATTAAAAGACTGTCAAAGTAATTAAAATGTGATTTTAGTAAATAAAAAACTTATAAACATGTTAACAAATGATATTGTAATAAATAAGTATAACACATATAAATATTTTATTCCATAAACCCTTAGAAGCCTCCCTTTTATACGGCGTAGTCGAAACGACGAAGGTTAGTAATAAGCGTTGTAAAATAAGGTTAGTGATCTAGGGTTAAAGATAGCGTTCTAAATCTAAATCTCTTAAGGTTGGTAAACAATCTTAAAAGTAACAACTGAAGTATAACATTTCATCACAATCATTACAGCACTTCACAAGTCCACAGCTGAACAAAGGCCTCCCACAAGGAATGTCAGAAAGCACGGTCCTGAGCCACGTGCATTTGCAGTTACTTTACAATTTACATTTAGGTACTTTAAAACATAAAAATCAAAATGTAATCAGATTTACACATCGTGTCGCTAATACACGTAATACATTATATATTAAATGTACTCTCAATATCTCACTCACATGAACTACGACACGTAATTTGATTTAGATCATTGACACCAAAAGAGTTAAACGGGCGGTCGTGAACGCGCGGCGCCTTTGATCCATCCAACCGATTGACCCATATTACCTAATGTTTCGGTTAGCAGTGCGACCGGATGGTGTCACCCTATATTACTTGACTTGTTCTGCAAGGCGCTTAAATTAAGTCACTATAAGAAATATTACCACGTTTTCATTATTTACTTATTTTTTTATATTTTAAGGTCTTAAAAAATATAGCTCCAATTAAAAAGTATTCAATCATACACGAAGACACTGTATATATATATGGGTCTTACTTTTATAATTTTTTATTTTTTACGAAAAAATTACTTAACATCTATATTTGAAAAAAGAAATAAAGTTATATTTGCAATTATTTTATTATTTTATCCTAAAATACTACCTACCACTATTTGGTTGATTGTAAATTTGTTTATCACTTTCCTTTTACTTTGAAAACAAATAGTATTATTTATTTGGAAATAGATAGTTCGTGTGAATATAGTAGTATAAATTATGAAATAAAGTTATGGTTCGCAACAAAAGGATTAACATCCTCGGCTCCCAAATATACCATCTGGTGCTGACGAAGAGGGAGAAATGGTTAAATTTGTTCAATTAGTCATGGATGAAACTTTTGGTATGTAATGGTACGTGTTTCTAATTTTCCTTATTTCATCTAGTATTTTTCATTTCATCCCTTGCATTCTCAAAATCCCTCATTTAGAAATGGCAGCGATACGGTGTATTTTGTATTTATAACAAAAATTTATAATCAAATCCCCATCCAAATAGCCAAATAGCCCATACATCCAAAATGTGGTTTGATAATCTCACTATGAATAAACTATGATTTAAAAACAGTCGTTCATACTAAAGAAGTCTTCGCGATATTTATCGTTTATTGTCAAATTCCATACATTACATTATAAAAAAAATCATTATAGAATAAAAATATTCTTCTCTAATCTATTCTATGCCCACCGCCAGGCTGCGTACTTTGAATTCAAAGTTTTTAGATACTTTCCGTACTAAGTCAGTTGTAAAATACATACATACATAAACACTCACGCCTGTCAATCAGAGGGGTAGGCAGAGACTACAGACTTCCATTTAGCACGATCCTGACATACCTTTCTCGCCTCTTCCACATCCATATACCTATGCATACATGCTCGTCGGTTAAGGGTACTCTTAATTTGGCCCATTTTTAGTATATCGCCAATTTGGTCGACAAACTTCCGCCTAGGACGTCCCTTTCCGACTCTTCCATTCACTTCTGCAACATATATTTGCTTTGTCAGTCTTTCCGCATTCATTCTTTCTACATGACCAAATCACCGAAGTATTCCTTTCTTAATCCTGGTCACCGCATCATCTTGCAAACCACACTCTTCTTTTATCACACAGTTTCTCACCCTGTCACTCAGATTCAGCCCTAACATACTCCTTAGCGACCGCATTTCTACTGCATTTATTCTACTCTCGTGCTTCTTCTGCCACACCCAACTTTCACTACCATACGTTAAAGTAGGGACTAATACAGCACTGTGAATTGCCATACGTGCCTTTTTTGACACATTCTGACTTTTCACAATAGAGTGTAGAGCCCCATTTACTTTATTTCCTGCATTCACTCGTCGTTCAATATCCTTATCAGATCTCCCATCCCTGCTGAATACACATCCCAAATATACGAACTCATCCACTTATAAGTTGTAAAATTTCTCAATAAATTTTATTTATAATGTTTTTAATAATTTTTCCGTTCAATTAATCTAACGTACAAAATTATAATCATATAACATGTTATTTTAATAATTGTAATTGTATTAAATATTATATTCTAAATTAATGTTTAAAAAAATTCTGCAGAGTTTCTTGCTGGTTCTTTTCAGTAGATTTATTACTGAACCAGTGGTAAAAGCATAAATGACTCAATAAGTATTCTTCTAATCAACGAGTATATTGAATTAAAATTATTCTATAATATTTCATCGATTTTATAGTTGTATATGAACAAAGACAACGTATAAATATGACAACATACGGTTGCCCTGCGCTTGCGGTGTCACCGTTCTCCCTGTTGTTGCAATGACCTCTTTTCCTGGCCTCTTTATTTTATTGAACTTTAAACGTGCGAAAGAGATTTTTCACAGATGGAAGTAAGGAAATGAGCTAAACTTAATGCACTCTGCCAATTTCATATTGCATTAAATTCTCAAAGTTTGAAATTTCTTATACCCCCCTTAGGACGTTGTAATAGGTGTGAATTTTAAATTCTGAATTTCAAGTCCTGAGTTTTGAGTCCGATTTTACTCTTTTATAAGTATGTCTATATAAAAATACCTCAGACCAACAAAGAAAGATAGATAGAGCTCTGCGTAAATTTCAAATGATGTGGAAACCGTACATACGTGGAGAGTACAGGAGTGTAGAGAACCGGAGACTCTTTTTACTGGAAATGAGGCATTCCACCTTAGTCCTCACGGATGACAACGCATCTGCATTTTGATTCGTAATCGAGGATAGATGTAGATGTCTATGGGCTACAGCAACCACTTACCATCAAGTGGACTGTGTGCTCGTTTATCACCCTATCCTATAAAAAAACAATATATGTACAAAATACATAAAAAATAATTCTAAGATTTTTGTAAGCCAGAAAACCAAGATATGTGTGTTTGTATATTTTATATTGAATGAAATTTTAATTTCATTGTTAGATAAAACAAAAACAAACATAAATATTTTGGTATATGCAAGATGCAGGTATACGTAATTTATTTTTGTAGGTAAGAGCAAGAAAAATAAATAGCTCAGCTTACTCAATATATTTGAACTTTTGTTTTAAAAATAAAACATAAGTTATTAAAAAAATGAAAAAATGAAAACTCGCTGAGACCGTTTTTTACTATTAATGCATGGGTTACACTGTGTAATTTACCTTTAAATATTCTTAATCTTAATGATGTTTCTTTTCCTAATTTTTAGTTAAATCACTGAAAATGCTAAGATGTGAGTAAGTTAGGGGTTAAAGAAGGAACATGTTTCAGGATCTCAAAAGCTGGATATTTACGAAAACTAAGTGTTGGGGTTTACGTCACTGGTTCAAATCCGGCTCGAAGGACCATAACGTATATATTAGATTATGTATAGATTGTTTGTAAATTTACTCAACCACTTCATTGAATTAGGAATTTGTAATTGAAATTATAAATATTGATATTTGATACCTAATGATTTTTGTGTACACCTTGCTTAATTGCTTCCTCAACACGGAGTGACCGCAAGTTTTTCGTCGCTGTATATTTCAATTCTTTCTGCAAATTGCTTTTAGCTACTCAAAAAAAAACTAACAGTGGCATTAATGCTACTAATATTCCCGTTAACCACTTTATATGAGTGGTTTAAGATAATAGTCGAAAGGCCGATTCGAACGATCATAACCTTTAAGTTTCATACCTTTAACCATTAAGTCTTTTGTCGCTTTCATCATTTTTGGTTCAACGGTGAACCGAACATTAAGCTTTATTGCTAAAAGTGATTTATAAAGTAATATAGTTTTTAAAATGCCTTTATAACTAACCGTATACGTATCTATAAAAATATGGTTTAGTATTTGTAAAATGTTTTAATTCTGAGAACTGCAACGAAAGAGCTCCTAAATGTTTTAATTCGATCTTAAACTCGAACATGTATGATAATATGAGACCTTACAACACACGAACAGAACGAAATAATAGAAATTTCCTTTATATGACCCAGCAAGCAACCTTTAAAAAATTTAATGCTAAAATTAAAACTAAATGTAAAAAATAACTTTTAGCTAAAGGCATAAGACTATAACTTTAAGGAACAAAAAGTAAAATAAATTGATGTTTTGAAATCGGTGCTAAGAAATAATATATTAAGAAAAACAAAGCCCCAAATTCAGAACGTGAAATTATTTAGTTTTGTTCTTCGAAGTCAGATTTTACTTTTTTTACCTTTTAAGTGACATAAGGACTAGACCTTAGTAATAAATGACTTTCAGTAAGAATTCTTGGAACCTATATTAAATAAAAATGATTCTATTATATTATTTTCTGTACCTTTTTTTGTGGATCTTCTCGGCGGCCCCAGCGCAGGTTCAGCCGCGGCGTTGACAACGAGCGCGCACGCGCAGAGCAAGGCAGCAGCACGCACGTGCGACATGCGTACGGGTTTCTTAACGACTAACTAACTGGTAACTGGACTCTGGATCTGGAACTCATGTATATTGTAGGATAGGAGCCGAACGTTATAAAAATCAGTGTTCAATAAAGCCATATTTATAAATGATTATATTGCTTTAAACAAGTTTACTGCGTACATAAATTGAAAGATTTGCCTACTACTATCACGGTGGGAGAGTAAGTGGTGACGTGGCGCTGGCTTGAAATAGTTAAAAGAATTTGGTTAAAGTTACAAATTAATAATTCTTAGCCCCATAGTAACCAATACTTTTACATAGACATGTCTGCTACATGTCAAACGATATGTTGGCAAGCTACTAAATGGGTCACACAAGGCTTACAACGGCTGGTGGTTGGCCTAAATGAAGATGAAGAGACGAGCTGACTCATAAGAGCTGACTCAAGCAATAGACCAAACACGATAGTAGTAGAAATTTTTATTTAAATATATAATAATAAAAACTTTTAGCTTTGCTGTATATCTATCGTGTTGTATAATGTCCTATTTGGTATCGAAAGTGAATACATTCTAAATTCACAATATTATGTACTTTCCTGGAAGGTTACATTAGAAACTCTTTTTCTCCTTCCCTCTCTCTCTCTCTTCTCTCTCGGTCTGTTTCCCTTTTACTTTAGAAAATATCTTAAATTTCGCAAATAGGTCTAAGTAGGCAACCTGCCTCCGACGATCCCTAAAACCAAAATGATCAAGAGGATACCTTGAATATAAACCGTACTTTTGGGAGCGTGGTCTATCCCTTTGTCGGGTCGTCGTCATCGCTTTCATTTTGACAATCCCTCAGTCGGTTTGCACGATTGAGGAATTCTCAAAATGAAAGTGATGCAATGACTTCATAATATAATATAGCTATACCAAACATGCACTCGAAAAAAAAAGCAAACTAAATTTTTGTTTAACAAAATTTGTTAGGGATTAATAAAATGGTTTATGAGAACTTAGATACGATTATTTAGTATGGCTTAAAAATGGCTTAAAAAAAAGAAATTTCCATAAATCCCTTTAACAAATTTAAAACCTTTACAAATTCAACTGTGGACTTTTATAGTAGACGTGTAATGGATGAATGATAATGGATTCCATACCCTTTGCCTACCTTGCAAGACAAAATATTGCACAAATAAAAGTTGTGCAGTCAAATTTATTATTATTTATTATTTATTTATTTTCCACTATACAATTATCTTTACAGGTTTATCACCTAATGCGATAATGTAGACAACTATTTTACCAACTTCAACTACATAGTTATAAGCTAATAATTTTCGATTATAGATATGTACTTATTGCTATTTCAAACACGTATCTATATCACAGCAGGATCATAACTAATTTCAAATAGAGCTCTTACTATGAACCCACCCAGAGTACAACAAAATATATCTATGTCTTCTGCTATTCGGTTGAGGATACGGAGGGCGCGCGTAAAGGGCGGTCACCAGCTTAGTGTGGCCGCGCGGCACAGCTAGCAGCTGCGTCCGCCGCCGCTGCCACACGTATCTGTCCGGAACACATATGCACACTTGTTGCAATACGTCTGGATTGTGAATCTTTCCCCTCATCACCTTAAAGATATATGAAACAAGCTCTAAATTCCTCCTAACCTTTAACTCATTGTATCCTACCATACCTAAGGTGAATAAGGTAGGATACTTATTTGGGTAAAATAGTCCATACATTTTTTGATATAAATATCTAATAAATATATTCTGCACTCTCTCCAACATGATACTAAACTTAGTCTCATGTGGAGACCAGATGACCGCGTTGAATTCTAATTGGCTCCTCACTAAAGAATTATATAATGCAATAACAGCCTTTATATTAGTGAAGTCCCTAGCTACCCGTAGTACGAATCCCAAATTTCTGTAGGCTTTCTTACAGATTTTAGTTATATGCTCTCCAAATTCTAGTTTAGAGGAGAAATTAACCCCTAGATCTTTGACTTTTGACACTTTCGCTATTGGTGCCCCGTTAACCTGGTTGGTACGTAACTGGAGATTGTACACGGCTGAAGGTCATAGTTATGCATTTCGTGATGTTAAATTGTAAGTTATTATGTTTGCTCCAGGCTACCACCCTATCTATGTCTTGTTGTAACCTTTGGCAATCCTCTCTGTTCCTCACAGCAAGATACAGTTTCAGGTCATCTGCAAATAGAGTACAATGAGCATCTTTGACAACCGTTGGAAGGTCATTTATCATCAATATGAATTGCAATGGACCGAGATTGCTACCTTGACTTACTCCGGACCTAGTTAAATAGTTTTCTGACCTACACCCCGCACATTCTACATACTGCTTTCTGTTCCGCATATAACTAGCAAAAAATGTTAGTAAATGGGGAGTAAATCCTACACCTGCCAGTTTTGTGAGCAGTATGTCATTATCCACTAGGTCTAAAGCTTTTTTGTAATCCAAGAAAGCTACATCTACCTGTCCTCCAGCATCCACTTCAGGTACAATATAATTCATATAATTAATTAGGTTGCTGGTGGTGCTCCTGTCGGGTCTAAAACCGTGTTGCTCGTCTGAAAGCTGTACATTAACTTGCGAGAGGATGCTCTTGTGTACTGCAGCCTCCAGTACTTTAGCTGGTGTCGAAAGCACAGTGTAAATAGTGTTAAATAGTGTTATTTCCACACAATCGGTCGAACACGGACTCTTCGACCACAGGTGATACTAGTAAAAGTAAATAACACCAATTTTCATTGACCGATAAAGTATTAAAAAGTATTTCAAATTAAAAAAATTGAAAAATTGAAAAATTTTAAGTTTGGTGGAGGCACACTGAACCTACACGTTTAGTTGAAAAGTTCACGTCTAATGAAGTCAACGCTCCGTCCTCCTCGTGTTCTAATCCCAAGTCTCGAAAACCTTCAGCTCGAGTTACAAAATCGTTTTTAGTGATGCAGACAAATCTACAAATGCATGCGATTGAACTTACGCAACTTCAATACAGCTAGTATTGAAGAAGCAATCGAGTGGAACCAGAGCTCCAAAGTCTTTGCTAGAGATCTGTCTGCCAGAAAAAGCCAACAGTCGAAACTGAAAACCGAATGTGGCAGCATTGTTTTCGGGACACCTGAGAGTACAGATGAAGAGGTTCTATGGGCAGCACAATGATGTGTGCAGCTGCCCATAGAATACCCACACGCAAGTGTGAGTAATGATACGAGAGCAAGTCTTATCCGACACTATTCCGATGATATTCCGGACGTCAGTCTGTGCGAGATTAGAATGGCTCTCCAGCACCTTGAAAACGGCAAGTCTCCGCTCGGTGATCCTATTCTTCAAAAAGAAAGTCGACAACACTCTCTTGAAGAACTACCTACATACCGATTTACCTTCTGATATGAGTCTACGTGCTGTTTTCGAGAGTCATTACGAAATTTGGGCGGTACTACAAACCCTTCGCTGTGCCAACTTGACCGTCGGTATATCGAAGTGCTGAAGTGTTTGTGCAGTTGAACTACGATGGCTATCCGAGTACACCAGGGTACGAAACCTAACCAACTGCAGAGAGGTTTAAGACTGGTGACGTGATATCTTCAAAACTCTTCACAGCTGCATGGGAAGACGTTTTCAAGCTATTGTACTGGAAAGAATAAGATATTAACGTCAATGGAGAGCACATCACTCACCTTCGATTTGCCGACGACATAGTTCTTATGGCAAAATCACTGGAGGACCTAAGCTCTACGCTCAATGACCTCAATATTGCCTCCCAACGGATAAGTCTTTATATGAACATGGACAAAACTAAAATCATGTGTAACGTCCATATCACACCTATGCCGGACGTTTTTGGGAGCACTAAGTTTGAAATTGTTGACGAGTATGTTTACCTGGGACAAATAGTCCGAGTAGGTAAGCCCAATATCGTCAGAGAGGTCAATCGCCGTATACCACTCGGCTAAGCAGCACATACCTCAAAACATCAAAACTAGATTGTACAACCAGTGCATATTGGCAGTGTTGACCTATGGATCTGAGTCGTGGTCTTTCACTGCTTGCTGTATGAGGAAGCTCAAAGACGTTCAACGAGCTATGGAGATGGCTATGCACGGGGTTTCTCTGTGTAATAGACTTAAAACGAGGATATCTGTGGTACAATCAGAGCAACCGACATAGCCCAACGGATTAGGTAGCTGAAGTGGAAATGGGGCGGCCATATAGCTCGAAGAAACGAAATTGATAATGCTGTGTAGCGGCAGTGAAAAATAAATCAGCACCCCCTACCAAATAATATATATTGTTACTGAGAAGCTCTAAGAGTCCAAACTATCCCGAGAATATCGTAAAAGACAACAGAGAGAAATGAAGAGTGAGAACAGTATCTTCGTGATAACAACTCAAAATAATAAAAAATTGCGGTTGCCAAACCAGTTGCTAAGAGAGAGAACTATGGCAAATATTGCCTCTACGTTCAGTGGACTTTGGATTGGATATATTAAATTAATGAATGATGGACAATATCTTGAGGAAGCAGAGAAAAAACAGGTAATACATTCGTAATCGGTTTATTGGTAGTTGTAATCTCGCGACAAAGGAGAAGGCAGACCGCCGTCGTGCCACTGTTATATCACTATACTACTTTACGTGGTAAAGCCACGCTGCAAGTTTGCAAGTTGTAGCACAAATGGGTTAGCTCGACCGGGGTAGAACCACACTCTCACAGAATACCATCGTAATATAGCAGCATAAGGCTGTTGTGTTGAGTGTAGAGAACCGGTGACCCTTTTTACTGGAAACGAGGCATTCCATCTTAATCCTTGACAACGCATCTGCATTTCATTTTTAATCTAAGATAAATGTAAATGTCTATGGGCCACAACATCCACTTACCATCAGGTGGACTGTGTACTCGTTTGGCACCCTTATTCTATAAATAAAACTGTAGTAGCAGTGCCCTTTGTGAACATCCCGTGACACAAACTAAGTGTCAATAAAACAAACAC